GAGATTTTTTACAAAACCCTCATTTTTAAATATTTGTCCACCTTCACCGCAAAACTCATCGATATTTACATTCACGCCACAAACTGTTGTTGTTACTCATGTCATCTAGGTTGATTTACCGTACTCTCCGACGGGTGCTATCATCTTCGGTACACTCCTCCGGTTTAGGTACTGGAACGGGAATAAGGGGACATGTCTGAAAACGCAAGAACTATAGAGATAGTATTAACTCAGAGATTTTTCAAACATTCAACTAGATTATCTTTCAAGGTAACTTACAAGAAATCTAAGTAGAGAACTTACAAGTATCTCTCAATAATCTAATCTCTCTCAAAAACCCTTACAAGGAACTCTCATAAACATCTCAAAGACCATACAAGTCTTGAGAACTATTCTCTTGTTTTCCCTACAAGAAAAGCTAAAAACCCTTTTGTTTTTAGAAAACTCTAACTCATTAAGTTGTCTTTTTCTAAAGGAACCAACGACCTCTATTTATACACATAGAGTTGCCCTTTTACAATTTCCTTTTCTTAAGACAAGAACACATTCCTTTTTTTTCATGTCTMTTGAATTCCTTTTTTTCATATTTTTCATTTTTCCTTCTAGCTTCTAGAGGCTTCTAACATATTCCTTTTTCTTTGCTTTGTGTGTTTGCAGCTTTAACATCATCGAGAATAATGCATCTTCAATGTCATCAGCCACTTGCACACTGCTCGGTTTTTTAGCTCGGACACGTCATCTCCGGCGACTGGGAGTAATAACCAACCGGGAAATCCTGTCCGAACGGTCGACGGCGAAGTGATATCCACTTATTGAGGTATAACTCCGGCCAAGATCACTAAACCGGACGGTTCAGCTTGGAAGTGGAATTGTTTTCAGCCATGGGATTCCTACAAGCCGGACGTGTCCATTGACGTAACCAAACATCAGAAACCGTCTAATTTCACTGACAAATTCGCATATTTTAAAAAAAAATAATTGAACCGGTATTTTGAGAGTTTGGACGGTCCAATTATTTTTGGACCGTCTCAAAATTCCGGTTCAATTATTTTTTCCAGGTAATTTAATCAAAATAAATTGTTCTATCAAATTATCAATCCGTTTATAACTGTGCCATGTAATTTAAGATAAGTAATAAAGTAAACACCGGTTCAAAATTTTCTATAAGAAAATAGACTATTTGAAATTTTTTTACTGATACAAAATAAATTCGATAATTTTTGTTTTGTTTTGTTTTGTGTATAGAGGAAGCATATGTGCCATGCAATGTTGTTGGAGACGGTGGCTGCGGTGCCGGGAATGGTCGGAGGGATGCTTTTGCAGTTGAAATCTCTCCGGCGATTCGAACATAGCGGCGGATGGATCAAAGCGTTGCTCGAAGAAGCCGAGAACGAGCGTATGCATCTCATGACCTTCATCGAACTCTCACAACCCAAGTGGTATAAGTTTGTACCTTTTTAATCAAAAACAAAGTTTTGGTACCTTTTCAAAATATAAATTAATTTGAATATACAATTGATATATATATGTTTACCGAATCTAATTAGATGCACTCCTATCTTTCCTTATAGCAAAAAATTAGATTTGACACACCACTATATATTAGTGGTCA